ATTCCTGCTGGACCCTAGTTCTACAACAAAATCATATTTTCGAATTTTGACCTGAAACTTTGCCCAAATGAAGGCCTCGATCAGAGTAGCTTGTATAAAAAATTTCAGAATTTTTGGACATTGCATCTCCAAGGTATCAATCTTTCAAAGTATCCATGTTATATATAGAAAAGTGCCTATATTTTCAAAAATTGATACCTTGAAAATGCAATGTCCAAAAATTCTGAAATTTTCTATATAAGCTACTCTAATCAAAGCCTTCATTTGGGCAAAGTTTCAGGTCGAAATTCGAAAATATGATTTTGTTGTAGAACTAGGGTCCAGCAGGAAAAATCCACTAAAAATTCGATATCTCTGTCAAATCTCAATATGAGCACGAACCCTTTGAAGGTTTCTCTAATCTAGTAGTTCCCTACCTAATGGGCAACATATGAGCTCAAAAGCTTTTAATCACTTGGGAACGTTCCCTCCTTAGAATTGTTTTCGATATAAGTTTGTGGAACAAATTTATGCAATTATGCATATTGAGTCAACGATTACTTGCATTATTGTATTTGAAATTATTTCGATCAAACTTAACGTATATTTAGATCATAATGATATTGAATTATATAGTTGATAGCACCACCTATTAATTATTGTTGTGATCAGATAAACAACCATGCAACAGAAATTCATCAAAGTAATGAACCAGATGATTTCATTTAATTTGAGATTCAGAATGTTGTATGCTGATAGGCCTGAAAGTTTATCTAATATACACATAGTTGTGTTCAACATAGTCGTGATAGAAAATTCTTTAATTTCTTGATATTTTTTTATTCTTTATTTGTAGATATTATTTTTAAAAGTGGAAAGTGAACTGGTAATAATTTAAAGAGCAATACTACTATTGCATCTACAGAGTAAGTATTCTGTTTGAACATGAATTTAAAAACGTTATAATTCTTCTGTGCATAGGCCTGACGATATGATTCGAAAATCTTCATCAAATGTTGATTGTCAGAAACAATCTGAAAATTTTTCAAAAAATGTCGTAAAGAAAAAAAGCATTAACATGTGATAATGATGCTGATTCACAAGATGGTCTTAATGCTTTAGTTGATGTAAATTTACATGTTGATACTCGTCAGAAGACTAAACGAAAACGTCGTTACTAATCTATACACATAGTGAGCAACACTTAATATTGTTTTTGTATTATTTAGCATTCTTAATACTACTTTTTTATAAGAAAACTTGAAACATTATTAAGATGAACATAATGAATGAAATATTGTACATATATGATGTCTTTCTAAGATATGAAAAAAATAAACATTGATGAAATATGAAACTCTATACAAGATTGTCCAATTTTTTTTCTTCTAAATCATGAAAAAAAGCGATTTCGAATTAGCTACTATACACAGACATTAATCAATTACGAACAAGCTCTTGAATCATTATATCAACAACGATACCATTTTATAAAAATTTACTTTAACTCAACAGAGACATTCATATTTTTCTTTAGAATTTCTCTCTTCTTAGCATTTTTTTATAATATACAATCCAATTCATTGTATTATCTGAATTTCAAGAACTTATAGACTGTCATCGAAATAAATTTAAATAATTTCACCTGCAAAAAGAAAAACACGTCTTCATTCTATCTAGTTGCAATCGAATAGTAGCTTTTCATGCACTTTCTCTAAGAATCAAATCAACTCAATCATAGGTGTTTGCTTTTCACCAATCAGCACCGATAGATGCCGCCATAAATTCGCGTCTCTTGATCAAACAGAGTCTCGTAGTCACTTATAAATCACAACCAAGAACCTCATAAATATATTGCCCTCTAATTATAGAAACGGTGAAGTTGACCGAAAATTTCACACCATTCCAAACAAAACTAACATTATTTCTGCACATGGAATAGTCCTTTCTCTCGTCCATTCTTCTCCACAGCCAGAACTCAATTAAATGTTGCTTCTTTACATTGTTTACGTATTTAGTTCCATTTCTCGACAATTCCTGAATAGAAATAGTACTAAGATACTTTCAACATTATTATGGTTTTTTCTTTAGACGAGATAAAATTCACTATTATTCGGATAACAAAAAACTAATTTTCAAAATTCTTTCATTTTCTTCGCTAAAATACGATCCAAATTTATAGGCAAGAAAAGGTAGCTTTGCACATTATTTTTCTTTATTTAGACACAAGAAACTTCAATATCATTAGATTAAAAACAATTGCTATAAAAATATTTTGTCTTCTTCAGATACAGTTAACTTCAATATCAATAGGTAAGCAAAAATTAACCTAATATATTTTTTCTTTAGATACATGACGATTCAAACTTTCTTACGTAAGAAAAAATTAGCTTTGCACATTATTATTTCTCTTTATTCAGACACAACTAACTTCAACATCATTAGATTAAGAACAATTGCTTTACAAATATTTTCTCTTCTTCAGATAAAACTAACTTCAATATCAATAGGTAAGCAAAAATTAATCTATCATTTGTTTTTCTTTAGATAAATTACGATTCAAACTTTTTTAGGTAAGTAAAAATTAGCATTGCACATCACTGTTTTTCTTTATTTAGACACAACTAGCTTCAACATCATTAGATTAAGAACAATTGGTTTACAAATATTTTGTCTTCTTTACGTACAATTAACTTCAATATCAATAGATAAGCAAAAATTAACTTTATATTTCTTTTCATCAGATAAAATACGATTCAAACATTTTTACGTAAGTCAAAGTTAGCTTTACACATCATTGTTTTTCTTTCTTTAGATACAACGAACTTCAATGTCATGAGAATAAGAACAATTGGTTTACAAATATTTTTTCTTCTTTAGATACAAACTACTTCAATATCAATAGGTAAACAAAAATGAACCTTACATTTTTTTTTCTTTAGATAAAATACGATTCAAACCTTTTTATGTAAGTAAAAGTTAGCTTTACACACTATTATTTTTCTTTATTTAGATAGAACTATCTTCAAATATCACTAGATTACCAACAATTGATTTACAAATATTTGGTCTTCTTTAGATAGAATTAACTTCAATATTAATCGGTAAGCAAAAATGAACCTAACCTTTTTTTTTCTTTAGATATCTAGTGTTATGTGAAGTTTGGTCCAACTCAATGGTACAGTTGTGGAAAATAAACAGTAAGCTTTATTGATGTAATTTTTTTTCTTTTTATGTTTAGGTCCGTCGCAGCATCAAATGGAAAAGATCGGAAACAACAGATTTTGGGGCGTACTGCTTCAGTGTATATCAGTTTCCGCTTGCAGACGAGCAAATGGCTTGGAGTTGTGTCTGCGTCAAGACTTGGAAACTGTACATGTCCTACAAAACGAAGAGCGTATGCAAAGTGGATTCGTTGAAGCAGAACGGAAAAGTTAAAATTCTCAGGTGTAGCGTTGTTCATGCTATACTTGGGTATCCTAACTTTTCCGTTCTGGTTCGTCGAAGCCACTTTGAATAGACTCCTCATTTTGTAGAATATGTACAGTTTCTAAGTCTTGACACAGACACGTCTTCAGGTCATTTGCTCGTCTGCAAGCGGAAACTGGCACACGCTGAAGCAGGACGCCTCATAAGCTGTCTTGATTGTGAGCCATTTTGGTTCACTGTCTCGAAACCCCTTGCAAGGGTTTATGAACTTTTTCTAAACCCTTGCACTGGTTTATGTGTGTTTTCTAAACCCTTATATGGGTTTATGAGCATTTTCCTAAACCTTTATATGGGTTTATGACTGTGTCCTAAACCCTTTGGTAAACCCCTACATGGGTTTATGAGCATTTTTCTAAACCCTTATATGGGTTTGTGAGCATTTTCCTAAACCCTTATATGGGTTTATGACTGTGTCCTAAACCCTTGGGTAAACCCGAACATGGGTTTATGAGCATTTCACAACCCCTTTGCTGAATCCCATCCGTACTTAGTGACCATCATAAACCCTTTTTTAGGATTTATGCAAGGGTTTATTGATTTCCTAAACCCCTTCAGATACCCGTAGTAAGGGTATATTAAAGGGTTTATGATTTTCCTAAACCCTTAAAAGGGTTGTTACAAGTGTAACGTATAATAAACCCTTAAAGGGTTTATGAACTTCCTAAACCCTTCTCTAAACCCTTTGAAAGGGCTTATGAATTTCCTAAACCCTTTATTAAACCCTTAAAAAGGGTTTAGGAAAATTTTACATACGGTAAAAAGGGTTTATTATACGTTACACTTTCATGAACCCTTTTTGGTTTATTATTCTACGAATTTTTTTACAGTGTGTGGGTGTGGATGTGGGTGTGGGTGTGGGTGTGGATTTATCTTACTTCAGCATTCACACCAAACCCTCACGCACACCCACAACCACACCCACATACACCCACGCACCCACGCCCACCCACCCACCCACACGCACACCCACACCGACACCCCACATCCAACCTGTATATATCCCGTTCTGGGGTCAAATATCACTGCGACTCTAGTTGCATTGAATAATGAGATATTTATCAGTTGGAATGAAGAATTCTATTTATCTAAATGTCACATTTGAGAAAATCCGACTGCTTCTATGTTTAATAAAAATCTTTGAGTCTATGCTATATATTTTGAGTGATGAGTCTGTGTGAATTAGAGAAAAATATGATAAATAATTAATCGGCTAAGATGTCTTTAAGTTTATTCGACTTTACAACTGATCGGAATACTTTTTCTTGAATCTACGAGTATATACGAATTTAAATTAAGCAGTAATTATCCAATAGTTTGACAAGTTTTTACATGGCTATTGTTTTCATCTATTCAGCACAGATGTTTGCTTTGCGTTGTCAAATAAAATAAAGTATTCTAAATGTTTGAATTAAAAATACGTCTGATATTATATCGCAATGATAAGAAAGTCAACAAAAAAACCCAAACTAGCCAAATTACGATAAGAACTCAAGAATATAAAAGATGATGATGATAACGAAAATTTAACATAAATGTCTCTACCGGCGAGTAAGTTGCTTTTTTTGGCTATTTATCATTTTATGTTTATTACTTAAGGATCGGAGTACAAAAATTGTGGAGCTGCTTGGGTTAGAGCAAGCAATGGTCAAGTTCCACCAAATGCTGTTCCGGGTGGACAAGAGGCCAATGGTCAAACACTCTACGTTGCACGATTTATCACAAAAGAAGGTCAACTATCTCCAGGCAAACTTGCTCCTCAGTACAGACAGGCTTATGTTAGTTATGGTGGTAAAGAACAATCTTCCGCAGTCTATCAAGTTTTAACTCATCCCAATCCACAAGAATTAAAATGGGTTTCTACTAGTGGAAATAATGTACCAACAGGAGCATTACAAGGTGGAAGTGATCATGGAACTCCTTTATTTATCGGTCGAGCACCATTTCAAGGAGGTGTATGTTGCGGAAAATATGCGCCAAGTCATGGTTGTGTTTATTTGCCATGGGGTGAACAAGAAAATAGTGTACCGAATAATTTCGAAGTTTTATGTTTGACTAAAATTTGTGAATAAATTTTTATCAATGATAAATCTAATAAAGAATAAAATTTATTTTTATCGATCATTTTAAAGAATATAAAATATAGTTGACAAAATTTAAGCTATTACTGATATACGTAAGGATATACATTCAAAAGAAGTTTGTTTTTTTTAAATCACATCATTATTCTCACTTGTTTATTGTTGTTCTCTTTTTTTTTGTCATTGATTAAATAACTTAATATTCATGAATAAAATATAATTAGCTTAGATTATTTCTTATCTAATACATGTTTATTTAATAAAGTAATGAAAAATTCTCTTTGACATTATGATAGATAATAATAATAAAGGATATTTAGATTAAATTACTAATTGTAGACATTTTAATTCGATTGTTTATATTAAATTCGAATAACAAATCGATCTGAATTTTTAGTTTGAGTATTTTGCTTTAACATTTTCAATTATTTGAGAACATATTGATCAATAGCATATAATTGTAAACTTTAAATTTCAATATGATTTTCAGACATAAGGATTAAGATTTAAAGTCAATTGTATTTGGTATTAACTCGTTATTTGTTTTCATCGGTAGATAAACCAAAGATTAGTGAATATGAGTCATCGACTTCGTCAATTGACCTATATGCCTATTACTTTTTTTTGCAGAATATTATTAAGAGTCCCGGTCATCGAGCTCTTGCACTGGAAACTATGCTGTTATTACCATGAATACATTAGAAATACATTATTATATGATTGACATGGAGACATTATTCAAGAGTTTTTCATTGTATTTTTTGAAGTAGGTCAATTGACGACAGTTAGACATATTTAAAGACATTCGTCGGTGATAGTAGACATACGTAATAAAAAAAAACAAACAAATTTTATTGTCAAAGGCAGTGAAAAAAAGATAGAGCCAATATGGTTATTTTATCTTAAGTTCTTTTTGTTTTATTATAGCATGACACTGGTTTAGACAAGATAAGAACTTCGATGTATTTTATCGGTGTGTGGATGTGGGGTGTGGGTGCGGGGTGGGATGGGTGTGGGGTGTGGATGTGGGTGTGGGTGGGAATGTGGGTGGAGTGTGGCTGTGGCTGTGGGTGGTGGCGTGGCTGTGGGCGGGTGTGGGTGTGGGTGCGGGTGTGGGCGTGAGTGTGGGTGTGGGTGTGGGTGTGGATTTATTTTACTTCAGCGTTCACACCAAACCCTCACCCACACCCAGACCCAGACCCACACCCACACCCACATCCACACCCACCCACACCCACACCCACACCCCACACCCACACCCACACCCACACCCCACATCCACACCCACACCCCACATCCACACCCACAGCCACAGCCACAGCCACACCCACACCCACACCCACACCCCACATCCACACCCCACATCCACAGCCACACCCACACCCAAATTCATACTTACACCAGATGCCTAAACGCACCCACACCCACGCGCACACAAAATCGTCATTGAATTGTTCTACTTAGCAGTATATATCATATTGGAAATATACGTATGCCTTACAGCGAAAAGTGTGTCGTAAGCCATTGAGCAAAGAAGGAAAACAGTCCTCGAACAGTATTAATCGAGAATTCGAACAGAGTTGAGAAAGTAATTTTGATACTTAGACAACAGTGACGAACCCATGCCCAGAGAATGACATAAGTAAGCGTTAGAGGAAGCATGATTAATCCGATGAAAAATGAATAGGAAAAGGAAAGTGGATCGCAGATGATTGTGTTTTTTATGAAATGGTGTATAAAATCGTGTATTCCTCGACTTATTGGAGTCGTGATGAGGAGTACATCGTATGCCTGTGAGTTTTCTTGTTCACAAAAGAAGCGACCTGCTTGATAGTACAATATCCAATTGTATGTGTCATTAATAAAATACTGTATTACATCCCATATACCTAGCATCATTAAACAAATAATGATGACTAAGCGCTTACTGAACTTTTTGTTCCTCAGATACTGTACTGCAGCTCCTGGTAAACATTGTATGATAAAGGTAAAAAATGGCGTAATTTCCGTATTAGGTAACATGTGTGACTTGATGCATAAGTATAGCTGCAAGTAAGTGCCACATAACAATGCATAAACACTGAAATTAAGAAGATTACTGATGGGTAGCACATTAATTGCAATCAGAATCAGTTTTAATCGGTACCACCAATAATCTCGTTGTTGTAGCCAACACCATATTATAGAAGGTGATGACAGCTAAACAATTATATTGATAAAACAATCAAAATGCTTTCTTTCTTCTAATCAACTGACCTGTTCGCTGATCCACACATTAAGAATTAATGAATCAAATCGACAAATATAGCTATTATTGATTAGTCGCCGTGTTCCATAAATTGCCCATTCTGGTTTCACTAGCCAATATTCTCTTTTCAAACACCATCCCAAATTAAATGATGCATTTGACAGATGCGTAAACATATCAATCATACGAATCATAGAAGCTTGATTTGTGTGTGTTACAGATAAACGTTCAACAAAAGGGAAAATGGAGCATAACTCTTGAACTGGATATGTTTTATCGATTTTGAAGCTAGTATCTATTAAAAGTGTTCTAATCTGTTTGAACTGCATACCTTTGAGTTGTTGAATCAGTTCCACTGAATTATTCGTCATGAATAATTGATGAAGACGAGGTAAGTTCAATAGGTGAAGGACATTTTGCGATGATTGAATGACTGGAAAACATAGAGTCAAACTCTCTATTCGGTTAATATCGATAATGGATGCGAGAGTCTTTAACTCAACATAGTTTTTGAGTTGCAGTGATCGAACATGAGGAAAGTAATGATTAACGTCGAGTAATGACTCAGATATTTCGAGTGAAGTTATATTCTCTAGATAAATTTTAGTGTCAGATACTGTTGAATAAATGGGCCGCTGAAAAGTATTGTGGCAAGAGGTACTTGCGAAGCGAGGTACAGAAAACAAGAAATTGTTTTCATAGGCTACATACCAACACTTTTGAAGCCAGAACCACGTTTGAAAAGTAGCTAGAATTCTTTCAATTTCAACTAGTCTCACATGAAAAATGAAGTTAAAAGTAATCAGTGAGTGAATAATATTTTCCCATCTTTGTCCATTGACTAAATCGATAGCATTGTTCTTAGCATGTAATTCAAAATGCTTCAGACAAGATAGATTTAATAACAAGCGATCCATGTCATCCATAGATACGGAATAGTCTAGAAAAATAACATTCTTCTAAGAAGATAAATTTGCATGTCCATCAATCTTGACTGACTCAAGAAATAGATTGCTTTCTTCTTCATTATCGTAAGTAAAAGTTTGACGTTAGAAAATCGCAAATTCTGTCATTCAGTCGTCTATATTGTATCTATCTCGAGCTTTCACAAGCATTCTTAACAGATTTTTTATGAAAAAACTTTGTATCCATTTACTCCTGCAATAACTTTCAAGAAGTGCGGTGATGCCCTCTGAGACGGATTGCTACGAGTGAGACTACAACACATTTCAAAGAAATAGAGCCGAATTTGCTGTACAAAGTCATATATTTTAATTTTTCTTTAATAAATCCATTGAAAGAAAGAAAAACTCTGGCTCTTGCAATCCATCGAAATTCCAATAGTTTGAGTTAGTACATTTGTCGGAAATGCAAGAAAATAAACGCAACTGACTGAGATACTTTCCACTCATGATTTCTGCGAAGAAAAAAGTGCTGTCCAATAGTAGATGGATTAATTTTTTTTTCAAAGTTAACATCAGTATTTCAAGAAGAAGCAAATTTGGAATAAAGTGAGACAACATCATCTTATCAACTGAATATTTGTCATGAAAATATGCGTTAGTTCCGATATATAAAGTCTCAAATGAATATTGATCTAGAACTTATAAAGGCTTTAACAAAACATTTATTGACAGTTGATAAGAATTCTAGCAATCACTAAGTATCAATGAAGAATATGCCTTTTGTTTATCTCATTCCACTTTCATAATTGAAATATACTCACTTGAAATTCGGAGAACGAGAGAGGTGAGTTTAGACGATGATAAAACTGTAGCCAAATTAATGTTTTGGCAACTCCAGTGGATATCGAGTGATTGAATTTGCGAGGCATTTCGATAAATATATTTGAAAGCATCAATAGAAGATATTTGAGTATTCAAGTTGGAATAAGTAGACCATCCGGATGAAAGCAATGAAATTTCTTCACTGATTATTAAACTCCGTAATTGAGATGGCACTTCACTAGAAACCATGAATCTGATATCACAATTATGTAATGAAAGACAAAAATATCGATTGATTTTATTCACGCTTTCAAGGATTATTTTCAATGATTTCGGTTCAATCTTGTACAATGTAAGTGATCGAAGATGAGTAAATGATTCGATTTGACAGAGAGACAAAAAAAGTTCAGATTGTCTTGGAGTCTCATTAGAATCCGAGAGTGTCAATGAAAAGATTTGATCCGGTCGAAGACGATGACAAACAAGATCGAAATGAGGTTTTAAAATCGAGTGAAAATTCACTTTATGATTCGAATATGAAGCCAAGATTGCATCGATATACATGCTAACATTCGAAAATGTTATAAGAATCTCATGCGCCCAAAAGTAATTGAATATAATATAGAATAACTCCATTGGCAGAACATCAAGAAGACAACGATACATTGACGACCGTGTGTATACAGCAACCTGAAATAAGCATAAAAGAAGATTGTCGACTCTGTATTAGCAGTAATATTTTTGTTTTAACATAAATATTCTTCTACTAATAGACACCATCTTATGAGAGGTATCATACATTTCAACATCTAAATATAAACACTGTTAATGGTGATTCACACACTTCCTACTTGTGTTTTTTTTATCGTTTGTGTCGTGTCGTTTTCTTCCTTTCTTGTTCTTCTCTTTCTTTCTGTGGATTTATATAGATATAACCGTAGTCAAAACACCTTCGCGCACATGTTGTTATAGAAATATATCTTTATATATATGCTACGCTCAAGTGCTTTGTATACTGATTGATAATCTATGATGAGTAATATCAAACAACAGTTTTCAATAGTTTATTTGCTTACCTTGAGAAGAAATATAAAAGAGAAATACCCTTTTTGTCATGGACGTCATGCTATAATTTTACATCATTTATTGCGATATTGTTGAATTCTTCAACTAAAAAGCCTTTAAAGTCGTCAATATTGTTGGATTTTTTTCTTTATATTTGCGCTTTACGATCGAACAAGATCCATTGATAAAAATTGTACCTTTAAAATTATCAATTCGATACTGTTTAATACACTGTAAAACTCGTTTTTTTATCATATGCTACTAATGTAGGAGTATCGCTTGTTGACACATTTCTGTAACATTGTTCATGAATATGAAGATCCATTGTTACATACCCTTGTTGTTCTAGTGAATTTTTTGTTTTAATTCGTTAATATTCTAATAGATTGTCCGACATAGAATGTTCTTTTTATATTTGATAACAGGAATATATCGGACAACTTTATTCCAAAAAGATAATATTGATATTTGATGATTTTTTAAATCTTCAGATGACGTGACAGTTTAATGTATGTGCATCGAAAACCGAAGAAATCATACCTCTCCATAGTCAACGTGTAGTACAGCTAGCAAACATATATCCTACGAATCATTAACTTCATAGTTCCTCTCTAACGAAAAGAAGATAGCTGCAGAAAAAGAACTTCTTCTTTAATTCATATGTTGCATTACTAATGCACGGTAATTCAATACAAATTTTCTTCTTATTTTCTTCCAATTTCGTGTGTTCTTGTTCTGCTTCTCTACTCGTCTTTCGACGGCATAGACTTAATTTTATGCCAATAACATTGTCAATGAAAGATACTGGATAACGATGACTTAAAGCAATCCTTCATATATTGTTAAATTCATCACTAAGTAATGTATCAGAATGTGGGTATGAGTGAGTGCAGAACAAGAAGATTACAATGACGCTCACACCCTCATATCCAGGGGGTGGGTGTGGGTGTGGGTGTGGATGTGGATGTGGGTGTGGGTGTGTGTGGGTGTGGGCGTGGGTGTGGGTGGGTGTGGGGTGTGGGTGTGGGTGGGTGTAGGTGGGTGTGGGTATGGGTGTGGGTGTGGGGTGTGGGCGGGGTGTGTGGGTGGGTGTGGATGGGTGTGGATGGGTGTGGGGTGGGTGTGGGGTGTGGGGTTCGAGTGTGGGTGTGGGTGGGGGATGACTGGGGATTTGATTTGGGTGTGGATGTAGCTTTCCGTTAGAGAGGAATGATACACAGACACCCACACCCCACCCCACCCTGTTCCAAGTGCACTTTCACGTGCTACAAATAATGTTGTAATCAGATTTCTTCTGAATTGAACCATCGACGCAAAAAGTAAACAAACCTGTCGTTTCCCCACAGGACATAAACTATCCTGCCAATAATTCCACCATTAATTCGGTTAGCAAGTGCTCCAGGTTGTTTCTGCATAGTTTCTACTACTCGTCGACGTGGTTCATAAAATGGTGCAATCGGATTCACGATATCTTGAACCATTCATGCAAAAAGTCAAAAATACTATTTGTTTCCCATGCTTGATAAACAATCCTGCTTGTAGTTCCATCACTGATTCGCAAAGGAACAGTGCTAGATTATTTCCGAAGAGTTCCTGATAGACTCCAACTTCCTCTATCCAATCATGCAACCATATTTGGGTAAATTCGTGGGGTTTCTACCACTTTTGTGGAAAAAGTTTTTTTTTTCGATTTTGATATTCTAGTTCGACGTATCACAGTCGAAAACGGTTGGAAGTAATAATAAAAATCTTTTTCGGTATATAAATTTGGGAGATGCAGGTCAATTTTTAGGAACAACTCAATGTATCTATCGTTGGATAATCTATGGGATCTCAATCATGTTGTGTAGTGATGAAATTTTCAGCGTTTGTAGAGCGTTTAATTCCGCGCATTTTGATTAAAAAAAATTTCCAAAAAGTTTTTGTATTGTTGAAAATAGACTCAAAACACTATAAGGAATGGAGCAAACTATTACAAACAATTGGTCAAAATTGTGCAAAAATCATTATTTTGAGAGTTTTTAGTTTTTTACTACTTATAGTGTTTTGAGTCTATTTTCAACAATAAAAAAGCTTTTTGGAAATTTTTTTTAATCAAAATGCTCGGAATTAAACGCTCTACAAACGCTGAAAATTGCATCACTACACAACATGATTGAGATCCCATAGATTATCCAACGATAGATACATTCACAGTCGAAGAGATCCGAGAACTTCGACACTGCAACAACGTTTCCCAACTCATTCAGTTTTTTCAGTTCTGGAAGTTTCAAATTATTCTGATGAACCGTTTTTTAAAAATACAGCAAAGGTTACAAGAATCTCCTCCTTGTGAGAGTAGTAATTATTTTGAGAAAAAGCTACTATCTGAAAGAATGAAAGAGAGTGGGGTGTGGGTGTGGGTGGGCGTGCGTGTCGGTCGGTATCGGTGTGAATGCATTTCTAGCCACATCCACACCCACACCCACTGAACTGAATCGCTTTGAATAACGCCTTGCAAGATCAATTGGTTCAAAACGGAACTCTACACCGATGAACATGATTTGTTGTCTTCGAACTTTATTAATACTAGAATCATAGAAGCACTCATATTATGCATATAATCAAGCGGTAGTGTTCAGGTCTTTTCGATCCATCGAACGATCCACTCTAGACTACTCTTAAATAGCAGCTTGTTACTGGTAGTTTATTTGTTTGTGTCACATTTCTAGCAGTGTTATTTTCATAAGACCATCCTGGAGGTCCGTGTTGCGGATCAGACAGTGTTCGTATGCGACAATATTGATAGCCAGGACAGCCCAACTGATGATCATATGCAACGGCACCCTGGTCTTGCTCTGCTGTTGTACGACATACAGTTTCAGTGACATTTATTTTATTAAAATTTGGCATATAGGCACCATTATCATCCATGCAATTGCCTAGGCCTAGCCACGTCCAGTTCGATGATGACATGATTGACTGTGGTTTAGTTTTCGCAGCCGCTATGAATAGATCCCATGCAGCTGATGTCGATGATGTATTGCGTGACGAGTCACAGCTGTTGAAAGATTGATTACTCCAAATCACACTATACAATCCATCAATTTCGCAACGCCTCGATGTCAGAACAGTTTCGGCATTCTGTTGTATAAATGAAACATACTGTTGTATATGAGCTGCATCCGTAAGGTATGGTATTAGATAAGCCAAATGACGAATAAAGATGCCTTTGAACAGTTTTTGATCATCGTTACAGTTTGGTTCACATGGTTCTTTTAATATTCTGTCGGAGTAGATCAGCCGTTGTATGGTAGCATCTGCAATCTTTTGTGCAAAATTGAGCAGAGTGACGTTGCGCGTTGCATTGGCTAGTAGTGCCAAACCTGTTAAGATAACACCTTGATTGTAAGTCCAAGTGGTTCCATTATTATTGACACATGTACCATCTCTCGAACGGCCCATATTTCCTTCATGCGATTTGCTGCTCGCTTGGTTCGATGAACTACAAATATGAGAGATAAAGAGAACAGTGAGTTTTCTTCCGTCTCCTATGCAATTCACAACGTGACTACTAATCTCTTTTCAGAAAATCCATACCTCAATCCATCATTAATCAAACTATCACCGTTGATCAGACCACTTGCTTCAAACCATTGCCATTCTTTTAGAGCCCAGTCAAGAAAATATGTTGGAGCCCGACCCAGTAGTGACGCATATGGGTGCAAACGCATATTACTTAGTAGAAATAATTCGTTGGTGATGGCGTTTTTATAAGTATTATTTCGACATAATTGCACACCTCCACCACATATGCTGTCATTCCATGCATTGACAGTGACAAAGTCATGGATATCGACAGCTCGATATAAATATCTAAGATTTGGTTCAACACTATATGCTTGTAGCCAAGCTAGTAACCACCATTGATAATCATCGAAACAATCGCCGCCGGTAAACATATCGGTATTCATAAACGTTTCATGAATAACATATTTCAATGGTGAATCCAATAGAGATACAAAATTAGTCAATGTTTCCAATGTATTTGCCGATTGCCATCCCTGTTCATTCTTCCACAATCCTGACATGTTTTGATATTCACAGGTAACTAACCTCGATGCCGTTATTTGAGCCCAGTTGAGCGCTTCGTTTGTTGATAAACTGCTCTTGATCTTCGTTGTAACAATGAATGGTAGCAATAAGGCCACCCAAAGTGTAGTAAAACGGAGAGACCACGACATTGATAATTTCTGAAACAAAACTCGTCTCTAAATGCATTCGACTTAATGAACGCTAACGCTTTTGTAAGTCATAAATCTGATTTTTTGCACTTCTCTACTATTTTTTCATATCGAGAGATCTAGACTCTGTTTGGCCGATAGAGAAAATAACCCTTCATTGTAAAACCATATATCTCAAATTCTGACTTAGATCATCATGTTGAACAAAGTTATCGAACACGATTATTAACCGCTTTCATCCGTGGAAATTTTTGTGGTCATCCGATGAAAGCTGTGCGCTACTCGTCAAACTTGTATTCTATCTCTCTAATAAAGTGTGATAAGACTGATGTATCTACCCAAGAGAAATGCATTGATATTCTGCTTGTTTTTTTACGCAGGGGGAAAGATAAACAGAACAATAGATAAGCTCTCTTTTGATATTAAAACGCTTCTCTGGCCACTGCCCCTGATGTAAGCTGATAAGACAGCTTTTTGTTGTTTGTTGACGACACCTCGAGGAGATATAGTGCAGTTGAGTGAGATAGCTATTTATATTCTTTGTTGAAAAGTTTAAGTTGAGTACTTCAAAGAGATCCGGAGCGACCCGAACCGCCGGTTAACCGTCGGTTCGGGTCGGTTTCGAGTAGGATTTGAACAGAGTCGGTTCGGTTATAGAAGGTCATCGGTTTGGTTCGGTCGACTAATGAACTTCGTTTATTCGAGTCTGTCGCTATCACTGTTGCTTTGAACATAGTTAGTAGTTGTCATTACTGACAGTAGATTAAGCCTATAGTTGTTGCACTTGATGGCGAGGTATACGTTTGATGTCCCATCGTCTTTTGATGGTGAAAGCCCTGCATTCGTGGAAAGCTTCCAGGTCCCTCTGTAAAACGTTTCATGTCTGTACCCGCTGGTATTACACACCAAACACTGGACCGTAATAGAACCTTATTACGTCAGTAGAAAAGCATGTAACCACTAGATATAAACGCTACCGTGGGGATGTTTCATTTTATTGTCACTGATACGATAGAACGATCGAAATCCTTGTGGAAAGCCAATTTGAAAACTGCATTTAATAGACTTAATTATTATTACACGAAGATCTTTGTAAAAGAAAGGTGACTTCGGAATTCGACAGCGAAGAATCTCTAGTCAGAATCTTAGATTGATCTAACCCAGATCTCACCACTTTCTTGCTAAGATCATTGTATGATTGCGCTTAATTTTTCGCAAGATCATACAGAAATCTTGTTCAAATCTAGGCGACCAGAAAATGGCAATGTTTTTTGGAATGCATTTACATCTTAGCCAACATCTTAATAAGATTTCTCACAGAAAAAGAGCAAAAAAATTGATCAGCGGACATATGGAAAATCGAACGCTAGACCATCGACCCGTAGTCTAAACATTTATAGATTAGAAGTCGAACAACTTACTTGTAGTGCTATGTCCTTGTGAGAAATGTTCATTTCGATCCGCACTCAATCATGTGACAAGGAATACCTTGGTTTTCGTACAAAAAGTCGAAAGAAAAATGTCATTAGAACATAATCCCATACGGTTCGGTTATGTGAGAAGGATGACTCTTATCCGTTGACGAAGTCTCTTTTGTTTATCGATTGCTTGCAGCAAAATGTTTTATCTTTGGTATCACTGGTCACGAAACACATTATTTATCTCCAGCAAGATGGGAATACTCGAATACGAAGGGATTCTTTTTTCGTCACCTTGACACTAATCCCGAAGGACATAGCATTGTAAATAGTGCCACAGTCACCGATTCACTTTAAGTTGTTTCGATATATAGAATTATAAAGTGAGTGGGAAATCCGCCAAGTAAGCAATGAAAATAGCGAAAAATGCAGCAACCTGTGCTCAAGAGACCTGGCCAAGTTCCCAGAGTTCGGGAACTATTTGGGAATTCGGGAACTCAAAAATCAATTAACACGAATGAGTGCTAAGAAACTAAAATATGTCAAGTATATCAGGGAACTAAGGGAACTCTGGGAACTCTGGGACACCAGGGAACTCTGTGATATCAGGGAAGTCGGGAAACTCGGAGATATCAGGGAACTCGGGAAACTCGGAGATATCAGGGAAGGGTGTGGGTGTGGGTGTGGGTGGGTATGGGAGTGGGTGTGGGTGCGGGTGCGGATGTGGGGTGTGGGTGTCGGATGTGGGTGGGCATGGGTGTGGATAGAGAAAAGAAACACCCACACCCACACCAGCACCATCACCCACACCCCACACCCACACCCACACCCTCACCCCACACCCACACCCACACACCCACACCCACCCACACCCACACACCCACACATCCACACCCACACCCCAGATTTTTAAAATAAAATATGAAAACAAAATAGGAAATAAATGTGTCAAAGTATAATAAATGTCAAATAAAAATAACGCAAAAATAAAAAACTCAATAAAAAAATTGTTTTGAAAGTATATAATATGAAATTAACTTTATTTACTTTATGATGTTTTCTCTTTTTCTAAATAAGCAGTTTTTGACTTGACAAAAATACAATGAAAATTTTCTAAATTTGTGTGATATACACCGGAGATGTATACAACAAATGAGAGTTGCTCTCCAGTTCTTCAACAAGTCATACAACGACCATTCACAGCTCACTAAAGATAAAGATTTTGTTTATATGTTGTTTTTAATAGAGATATTTACTGCCGCAATGTCTCTAGATAATTAGTATCTAATGTTTAGTATTGTATATAAAGATGAGAATAATATTAATAAAGTTATTAAAATAAGTTGACTTAACAAAATTAGACTATATAAATTAGATATAGCCATTAGATTTCATTAAAGAACATTAAAAAGAACAATATATCATAGAGAATCATCTTACTAACAAATTCTTTGAACTTTTCTCATTTTAGTCTTTAGATTTTGATTTGTGATAAAGCATTCAAATTATTAAAGAATATCTTTAACAGAACATACATATAAAGGAAATGTAAGAATGATGTCATTGATTGCTAGAAAATATTGCTCTATATATACCAAAAGTTGATCTCCTACAAGAGATCTTAAGTTAAAAAGTGTATTTTTGAAACTTGAATTACCGAAAAATTTCAATGAACTCGACTCGTTTGTTTCGATTGAAAATATGAAACTCAATATATCTTCAAAAGACAATATAACACAGCTGCATAAAACACGGTTATCTTTGTAAAACTTTTGAGAATTGTAAAGCGTATTCTATTTAGTTTTTCAAGATAAAAATATGTGTATCATTGTTCTTATAGAGAAGACCAAATCATGTTGCTGCTATAATAAATTGTAAAAGAAGAAATAGTCCAATTGATTTTCGTTATTAAGTTTCAAATTTATTGTGATTTATTATAAAAATAACATTTTAAATCAAGAAAATCATTTATACAAATATAAAAAAAAAGAAAACAAAGTAAAACAACAAAAGTCAATAGCGTATTACTCTTAATCCAAAATAAAATCATTGAGTATAGTTGAAGAAAACAAAAAACAGAGTTTTAACTTTGTCTTCCATATACTTCAAAGAATATTATTTTGTTATATTTCAAAAAGTAAACTACAAATATCAAACCTATAGAAAGATGTGAAATATTATACGTATGTATTTTTCAGAATTAATTAAAAGGCATTAGCAGGAGAATTTAAAGAAATTGTTTACTTCTTTTTCATATATGAGTACTAAGTAGATGTTCGATTCTCTATCATCCTTAGTATAACATAAAAAGAATATGAATGTTACTGCATTACATAAAAACGTGTCTCATCTTTTCCAATTTCATCTTCGAAAGACTCTAAATCTAAATATTACAATAGTTAAATCGCTACCGGATGGCCACTCGTATGGAGAAACAGATCTACATATCTGATTTAAGCATCGTCTTTATGAAAACTTACTGCTTTTAGAAGTAAGATTTTATTTAATTAACTTAATAACAAAAGATACTTCGTGTTAATTAATTAACCTAGCAAAAATATTAGAATCATTAAGAA